GGGGGGGGGGCAAAATCAGAAACGCATGCCATGACTGATCAAACCTAATGTTATCTCAAATATCCATTTGTATATATGGTCTGTATGAACAAATATAGTCTGACTTTAGTACTACTGATGCCGCCATGCTTACTACAATTTCTCTATTGGGTCATGACACACATATATACACATCTTGCCTATATTGGAAGAGAGACGAAGTTTCAATCATGGCGGTCAATTCAGATTTCAATTGCCCTCGCTACATATACTTGATAATTGAACAAGATTTTAAGTGGCTTTTACTTGAAGTCAAAAGTATGAATTTATTAAATCATTTTACATATTTAATATAAAAGAATGTCAGGATTCCAAGATACTACATGACTGCCATCACCTAACCTTACAAAACATACATGTTTACAAATGCTTAGCACATGTGATGTTTTCTAGGTAAAATGTGACGTGTTTCATGGTCCAGTGACTTTTCAACATCCTGGTCTTTATTATATGTTTTCACAGAAAACACATTAACGTTTCCCCAAACAAAATGTCATTCCACTGTATCTCATGAAAATGAATCATTCTAAAAACTAAACTTGTACAAGGTTTACATGAGCAATCAGGCAGCTGTAGCACCATTTGCCGTTTTTAGGTCACCTGAGCTTTAGCTCAAGTGACCTATTGCTATCCGTTTTCGTCCGTCGTCCGTCGTCCGTTAACATTTTACATTTTAAACTTAAAGTCAAGTTCTGCTGGGCCGATTGAACTGAAAGTTGGTAGGAATGATCGCCTCAAGGTCCTGACAAAGTGTTGTTATTTTTCGAGTCGATCAGAAATCCAATATGGCCGCCACGGCCGCCATTTTGAAAACCTATTTCAAACTTAAAGTCAAGTTCTGCTGGACCGATTGAACTGAAAGTTGGTAGGAATGATCGCCTCATGGTCCTGACAAAGTGTTGTTATTTTTCGGGTCGATCAGAAATCCAATATGGCCTCCACGGCCGCCATTTTGAAAAACTATTTCAAACTTAAAGTAAAGTTCTACTTGGCTGATTGAAATGAAACTTTGTAGGAATCATCGAATCATTGTCCTGACAAAGTGTTATTATTTTTCGGGTCAATCAGAAATATGATGTGGCTGCCATAGCCGCTATTTTGTAGATACCTATTTCTAACTTAAAAACAAGTTCTAATAGGCCGATCTCACTTAAAATTGGTCTAGGAACGATCAGCTCATGGTCCTGACAAAGTTAAGTTAACATTATACTTAACTATTTTTTACTCGAATTGGTACATATTTTAACATCAAAAACAAATACTGTAGGACTCAGGTGACCGTTAAGGCCCATGGGCCTCTTGTTTGTTGAAACATCTATCTCATAATACTCAATATATATATTGTACAATATGCTTGCTTCAGGTTTGCTCCATCTTATGGTCAAAGGAACACAAAGAACTCATCTCCGGCCACGGCTACTCACAGAATCAGCTGACCATCTGGAAATACCCGACAATGACCCGAGTGGCTGAACTGACAGGTATTGTAGAATTCATTGTAGAACGCAACAACTCTTCCTGCTCAAGTTTTGTCCCAGCTCATTTCAAAATATTTTTCCCCGTATTGAATTCACCCGGCTATTTGAAGTTACACTTACTGTAAGTTTCCAGACATTTTTATACGATCATGACAGGTCATTGAGGGTGTGTCACACCTGTATCTATTTACGTACTAGTATGTGTCCTCAACGACGTCATTGATCTACAGACTTTATTTCTTATCTTATTATCCTGTCCTGTCCCTTCTTCATTGCCCTCACCCTAGCTACTTCATTTCTTAACAGATTTTTTGTAAAAGTTTATACAGATTTCAAATGTGAAAATACCTCGGATGGGTTCATGTTTCAAAGATCACTGCCAGTTGCTATTTATCGAAAATTTTGCTATATATTTCTCCGTTTATAAACTTTTAGTATGATGATAATACCTTGAATGCATACATGTTTCCGGGTGTCAAGATCAAAGTCATTGTAACTATTTATAGAACATTATCAAACACTGAAACAAATTTCACATAGCGGCAGGGGGGTTCATGTCTTACAGGCATTTTCTAGTTTTCATGAAACATCTTGTATGTATTAACAGACATCATCTTCTGTATGAGTTCACATCTCAATCTTCTGGAGTCAAAAATAAGAATGTCTAGTTACTATAAATAGAATTTTGATATCACCTCTTGTACAAATTTGTGTTTTGACTGTTTTGCGTCAAAAACAAGGTCAGTGTAGATAAGATGTTCACAAACATTACCTCTTTTGAAAGTTCATGTTGAGTCAGTTACTTTAAATGAAATATTTGACTTCATAGACCTCCGGTGGCTTTACACACCTAGTATTTCAGATCACTCCAAGCACAAAGGTATTTTCCTCTGTGATGCTTCGTTGTTTTATTTTTTTAATCTCCCTTATCCAGGGATACAAAAAAACCTGCTTTATAGAAGCTAGAGACCAAACTCTCAACAACAAAACATATCAACATATTATAGGGAGAAAGTCCACTACTGATTGAATGACTAATCTTTATAACATATATAATACTCTACAATTAAAACATTAACAGTCATTCTGGGGTAAAAATGTTGAAACAGCTTCTTGAACGTGATGTGTAAGTTGATATTGTGTACCATTTTTATCCCAGGACATACTGCGAGGGTGTTGTGTCTGACACTGTCCCCAGATGGCACCACAGTAGCTAGTGCCGCAGCCGACGAGACCATCCGACTCTGGAAGTGCTTTGATGCTAAACCTACAACAGCCATCACAAAACCCACCAAAGACCCGAGTAGCTTCAGCCAGATGCGTGGGGGGATTCGATAACGTGTGGCACAGAACAGCTTTGTGTGAACTCAATCAAACCCTACTGGTAAACTGTTCATTGGCCTGTAGGAATCCTCAGTAGAAGTCTCAAGGAAAGTTAAAACAGATCGTCATAGCTGAGATCCAACTGTTCTGAAAGCAAATCAAGGTTGTGTTTCTGTTATAATATCAATAGGACATCTAGATCTGTTTGCTGGTATGTTGAAACCTGTGTTATCTGACAACAAACTAGGCTCTACAGTGAACCTGTCTAACAAAAGATGGTTGATACTTACTGAAATGCAAGACGCAGAGATATTTACTAAAACAAGTTTACATCTTTCAAATATTTGCTGGAAACAGTTTATCATTTTACAGATTTTGACTGAAACAGTCAACGAGTTTGACATACATATACATTCGTATTTTCACTTTGTACATATATGTAATAATACAGCTTGACATTGTACATATATTTACTGAAACAGCTTGACATTGCACATGTATTTACTGAAACAGCTTGACATTGCACATGTATTTACTGACATTTAGACTTTGTACATATATATACTGAATACAGTTTGACATTGCACATGTTTTTACTGACATTTAGACTTTGTACATATATATACTGAATACAGTTTGACATTGTACATATATTAACTGAAATATTTTGACATTGTACATATATTTACTGAACATGGTTTGGCATGCATTACTGAAAAGGTGGACATTTTGACATTTTAGGTACTGTATACCAGGAAACCTTTGCCCGTCACTGTAATTACTATAGAGGATCAACTGCTGATATTAACATTTACGATAAATTCCCCTCTATTGCGGAGGTCAAAAAAGGCAAAAATTGAACTGTAGCAAAAAAAATCCAGTATACAGTTCTTACTGAAATAGTTCCGACACTGAGATTTTACAGATGTAAACTAAATTAGTTAGACATTAAATAGGTGTGAAGTGAACAGTTCAACATTGTTAATATTTCCTGAACACTGGGATTTTTCAGATATTTCCTGAAACAGTTGGACACAGGAACCAGATGTACAGTACAATAATTTAAGTGTAATATATATTTCTTGTGTTTGTAAGACATGAAAACCTGTGGTTCAGTCAGTCCTTGTACTGTTGCTGTGATTTTGATATAGAAATCCATTAGTTTATCTAGTTCTAACCAAAATGTAGCGAGATATATTGATTGATATAGACTTTTGTCTGTGATAATTTGACATAAATCCTTGTGGTAATGATAATCCTGTGATTTCTAGCTATACATAGGCCTTTTGTTTACTGCTGTGATGACAATCCACTATAGTCCTACCAACAATCCTAACAGCTAGGAACAAGATGGCACAATTGTTGACATCATCGTTATTAAAAGTCTTATCAAATGTAGGTATGTGGGATAAGGGTATTCTACCCTTTGAATGTGTTCAACCCCAACTAGTTTAAGGTTGTATGCATCCTTTATGCCCGAGTGATTTAAGTATGTTTGTATCCTGATCTCATTGTTTGTATTCAATTTTTATGTTTCCAGGTATACTTTTGCCTGATGAGGTGACTGTAAAAAATGTCTTTCAGTATTACTTGTGCTATAGGCTGAATCAAAGATGTGTTTGGACTAAGAACATTTGGGTGTCTCAGGAATATCATAATCATATGTTAATTGTATAATCTTGTTCCTGTATTATAGATCTCTTGTGATACTTGTAAATTTTGTGTCTCTTCTGAATAAATGCTCTTGTTTTGTTATTTGTACTTATTTTGTTACTGTAAATATTTATACCTTTGTCTGTGTCTCTGTTGTCCGGCTGTGCTGACTGGTTTCTGGAGCAAAATTCCGCCACTATTTCACGAATTGACATCAGACTTTGTACATGGGTACATCATGGGTGTGTTTGCATCCTAAAACTGTGAGCTCAATTTGACCTTTGACCTTTACCTAAAGTGCTGAAATGATGGTTTCTGGAGCATATCTTAGCTGCTGTTTCATGAATGGGCATCAACATTTGGATACATGTACATCGCGGGAACTGTGCCCTCAATTTGACATTGACCACAATTCACAAAATACAGTGTAACACAGCTTTCCCCAGCAAATCTTAGTCACTGTCTATGAATGGGCTTCAAACTTTGTAAATAAGCTTCAAGTTAAATCTAGTTTAATGATTGTTTTGGCCACCTAATCTGGATCTTCTTCAGTGTATAGTGAAATTGTCCTGTTAACTAACTTTGAAAGTGTCACTGGCAAATATCTAATGACAATTTAAGTTTATCTTTACCAGAATCAAAGTTGCTTTTCCTAAACTGTTCTAACATCCTCCCAACAGCTAAGGTCATAGGGAGACACCACGGACAGGAAGTGAGGAAAGAAAGTGTATAGATCTTAAGGACATTCCAATATGGCTGCCACACCACACTATATCAAATTCAATAATGCATTCCGTTAGCATTGAACAAGCCCTGTCAAATGCTTCAACAGTTATTGAATTTTTTTTTCTGAAATTTAGTGTGCATGTACCTCAACTATGTTTGAGAAATATTGGAGGAGGATTATTTTGTGACAGGGATTGTTTAATGCTAACGGAATGCATTATAGAATTTGATATACAGTTTGGTGTGGCAGCCATATTGGAATGTCCTTAACCCTTAATTACATTTTGGATACAACAGTTGGGGCAGGACGCTTTCGTTAACCAGGTAGCTTAAGTCTGTTAGAGCGATAGTATAACGATATGCAGTCCTAAGTACAAATCTCGGTTTAGCCTGCTGAATTTTATACTAGGAACACTGTTGTTGATTATATTTCATTTCATCTTTGTTATTCTTTCTTATAAAAGTCATATCAAAGCTATTAGCGCAAACTTCCTCTGGCCCAGACACCAAATGATGAGTTAAGTAACACTTGTTTTAAAGATATCTTGGAACAATAATCCATAGATCATTAACAACACAGTCGCTGCACGTTATCGTAAGCTAAACCACAAACAACAAACCCCACCTACTTATACCCTACTATTCACAGAGAGCGTAACCCCTCGAGAATCGATGATGCACCTACCCCTCCACCCGAATTTCGGGTTAGCCAGTTGGAATCCCAAAACATAACTGGATACAGATATTTTTCACAGCAATATAGACCCGTGTATCCGATATATATGTGATTGTGTGACTATCTTATTGTAATTACAATCATCAGTTTATAATTAGATTTCGTGCTTCCATCCTTCAAGCATCGACTATTTTGGTAAAAAAAAAAGACATGCACTGGAATAATAAAGCGATTTACCAGATAGGCCCGCAATACCAAAAGCATTGTTAGTTTCACGTCCAAAAAGTGAGAATTTTTCATCTGTAATTTTTTTAACTGATTCCACCTTTAACGTGATGAAGCTCGGGCTAGCGACGGGTAGGTAAGGTGTGATAAGAAATTAGGTTCTAATCAAGTCCAAGTTGTTTATCCGGCCTTCAGTATTTTGCTCATAATCTATCCAATTACAAAATATGTCATAGCATGCACTATTCAGCGCTAAGAGGATACAGTATAAAAAGGCACCGGTGGATATTATATCGTAAGACCGTGTAGTATAATAGTATACCCTTACGACTGTACATATAAGGACGTAAGGATGGTTTCTTAATCTAATATTTATAGTTTCAAAAATAAACTTACATAAATTCGATAAGATTCATCAGTTTGGAAATATGTGATATCAAAGTTTACTTTCTACACAAACAATGTACGTATTAAACGTGTCGCAACATTTCAAGACCAACTGGTCCCTTTGTCAAGCTAGGACTGAGTGATAGTCATACAAGTAGCTTGACAAAGGGACCAGTCTGTCTTGAAATGTTGCGACACGTTTAAACGGACATTGTTTGTGTAGAAAGTAAAACTTTGATATTAAATTTACGTACATTATTTAATTCCCTTACACTTAATAACTGGGCTAAGTTGAAAATAGATGACCTACGCCAATAGTCAACGTAAAATGACAGAGCTTGTGTCATTACACTGTTCTCACTGTACTGTGTCAGTTGTCTTAAAAGACAAGTTAATGAGACCATCTGATAACTTTGTAATACAGACACTATCTCATTAACACTGATCACAAAGCCACGCCACCCTGTATGTCTGGGGTACATACCGATACACGTCGACAAAGGACCCGTCAATACCATCTGACACCTTCCTTTGTCACGTGAAATCTCAGATCATATTTCTTAAATCTTTTCTGGGTCAAATGTTATATTTAATATCGATGTCAGATTGGTATTGTGTTTGAAGTTATTCATAAAAAAATATTTTGAAGTCGGTCCGTGCGAAACTTTCTGGGCATTCCAAACCAACCCCTACGTTGTTATATAGTGAATATACACTAAGCATGGGTGATGACACCCATTATTGAGATAGCTACAACCACTTATGTTGGTAAACACCCTGATCTGGCGAGTGGTGTATCGAGAAGTTTGTGTTATATTTTCACGAGTAAATGTTTACCAAGGACTTAACAAAAACTTTAGATTTAGAAGTGATGTACACTCCACAAGTGACAGGTGAACATAAAAGATGTTGTCATTCATTCATTGACCTATGCGTAATTAAACAAGAGATCACATAGGGATCTTGGCGCCCACCATCGTACCATCATCATAGGCTGATACACGAGATCCCAGAGGGATCTTGGCGCCGACCATCGTACCATCATCATAGGTTGGTACACGAGATCCCACAGGGATCTTGGCGCCAACCATCGTACCATCATCATAGGTTGGTACACGAGATCCCACAGGGATCTTAGTGGCGCCCACCATCATACCATCGTCATAGGCTGATACAAGAGATCCCAGAGGGATCCTGGCGTCACCATCGTACCATCATCATATAGGTTGGTACACGAGATCCCACAGGGATCTTAGTGGCGCCCACCATCGTACCATCATCATAGGCTGATACACGAGATCCCACAGGGATCTTGGCGCCAACCATCGTACCATCATCATATAGGTTGGTACACGAGATCCCACAGGGATCATGGCGCCGACCATCATACCATCGTCATAGGCTGATACAAGAGATCCCAGAGGGATCTTGGCGTCACCATCGTACCATCATCATAGGTTCTAGGCTATGTAAGAAACATGAAAGGACCAAGAGGAAATTAAATATGAAATTTCGGAAAGATCCCTCCAGCACTTCCTAAAAAAGGGCCTAACAACCTGTTAACTCTTTAATTTCAAGATGGTCGCCTATTTGCCTTTTGTTTTTCTCATCAGTCCCATGACGCAACATGCAAAACCACGGGCCACGGGGAACCTTTATGTACATGTGGAATCTTAAAAAAATCCCTAAATCCTCAATTACGTTCTGAAAAATAGCACTCAAAATTTTTAACTCTCAAAGTTCAAGGTGGCTATCTGTCGGCCATCTTTGTTTTTTCATCAGTCCCAAAATCCGATGTGCACAACTAAGGACGATTGGGAACCTTCCTGGGAAATTTGAGAAAGATCCCTTAGGTACAGTTTGAGAAATAACGGTAACACATTTTTGCTCTCTTAATTCAAGATGACTGTTTGCTGGCACTAAGGATGGGCTATATGATTTGTCAGACGACATCGTTACATTGCTAAGTGTACTAGGTATGACGTAAGAGCTCGGTCCATATCGATGCGGAGAGAAATTATGTGATCCCAGTGACGGGCCTGGGAGTTCATAAATAAGAAAACCATGATTTTACATCTACATGGCATAATGTGTAAATAATATACAACAATTAGGAAAGAATTTAAGTTATTTCAACTTATGTTAATCACTCTTGTTGGCCCGGGTGTTGGCGAACGGAGGTATTAATGTGGAAGAAACCGGAGTAGCCGGAGAAAACCCACGTGGTCGGGCAGGTGACCCCATCATCTTTCACGTCCGATCGGGGAATCGAACCCCGACCGCCCTGGTGAAAGGCAAATGCGTTATCCACGACACCCCCTACAACGAGTAAACTAGGCGATTTTGTGTTAGGAAAGGCCTTTATTTAATCGGCGCAAACTTATTTTCAAGTAAATACCTTATGCTATTATAAGTATATATTCTAGGAAGCTTGCATTTATGAAAAATATGTTCATACAAACAGTTGTATACCGTATGTATGAAGGAACATACTGATGGTTCGTTCTTTTGCGAGTAACTATTCACAACTTCTTTTAGGGGTTAATATATCAAACGATCATTCTTGTAATCAATAATATATGATTATGCATTTTATTGCTCCTGCTAGGATTTTTTTTTTAATTCATTTTCTTTTTCACGTCACCACATGTGAATACCGAGTACGTAAACACGGCTATCGGTGGTAGTGCTTTAGCAGGCGATATCTATGTCTACTTAACATTCACAAAAGAGCTGTATATACACACTAATATATCTTATTAGTGTTCGGCAGAACCCCGTGTATACCCAGCATGTCCAAACTCGGTCACCATTCTACCGCGGGGATCGTACGTGAAACTGCACCGGCTTACAACAGGGCTTTAACAAGCGGACACCTAATAAGTCACAATTTTGGCATGGAATCAAATTTTCACCTCAACGTAAACCACTTGCTACACGACGTACGTGTCCAGTCTTATTTTGCCGGAGACCAGCGATGAAAAGTAAGTATAGTTTGACTCAACGATTTTTCTTCCAAGTTATAATGTTTGATGGGTTTATTATTACCTGGTCTGATTGTTATTACGTGTGAATTATTTATCGTAACAGCTTACTATCCTGACCAGTAACGTCTGGATGCAGTTTATTGTTTCGCAAACAGCCCCCTTTTTTGTCTGCACTGTCGTTATTCCTTCTTTGCCGATATATCTCTTTAAAAAATACCCACCCAACGAACATTTGTTTGGACCCAGTGCCCATGTTGGTCATACGTCGTTATTACTTATGAGACTTATATTTTTATTGATTCGCTGAGTTAATTAAACTTGTTCTTTAATCATAAGTAATCACTATGCGTCATATCCTCATGATGTGTTCGCGATATCAGCTTTTAAAAAAATCTATTCATGTCACTGGAGTTTTATTGCATATACAAATACTATTATATTTACGAATGAATATCAATCATTTTGATGTTTTTTTTGCTGTCCCGTCTCTTAAGATAAGTGTGTTCAGGTTGTAAAATATAACACTGATTTTCCCTTAAGTTTTATCTATACCAGAGAAATCTAATTGATAGTCCTCTGTGTTCTTGCATGCAAGCAAATGAAACCAATGAACATTATCTATTACATTGTTGTCTTTTTTCTCAACTACGGTTACATACATTTAACGAAATCAATCATCCACTCTCAACTGATTTACTTTTGTTCGGGAATAATGAGCTTACAGATGACGAAAATGCCTTAATTTTTTCATCTGTACAAACCTTCATCATCCATTCTAAAAGATTTGACTAAGTTCTATTCATTATACAACGATCCTTTGTTTCACATCACCTATTTCTTCTCATTCTATTCTTATTGGCACGGGCATCTATATCTCCCCCCCACCCCCACCCCCCACCCTGTACCCCTTTTCTTTTACTCTCATTCCAAATATCCCTTGAACTACGTATAAAAGTAAGCTACTGTTTTAAGTGTTTATATTTCTTTCCATAGAATTCAGTAACTATACCATCATGCCCTAAATTAATGAGATACATTCTCGGAAACGGATTTATATAAGTTATTTCAACTTGTTTCCGGATCCCATTCCTCTGTACTTTGTATGTTATGTGATGTAATGCAACTTAATTTGGAATGAAATAAAGTTTATATTAACACTGATTTTATATCCGGGGTTCAATATTGAGCATGTGTTAGCTAGGTGGAGATTGTACCCGATAACACTTTATTCTAGCCCTACTTTTTATGACATTCACACGTGTATCTCGGTATATTGATCTTACCAAATCGCTGACGACATGCTTCGTTTTATTTAACCCTGTTCGTTCTCAATCTAATTAAAATTAGACTTGTAATTCCACTCCTCTGCGATACACTTCACATACTTGTATTTTAATTAGATTTTGTTCGTTCTGTACATATATTTATTAGTAAAAAAATCTAATAAATTACATACATATTTTACTCTTGACACATGCATACAAAACAAGGGGACAGTTTGTTCTGACTTTAATCCATGGAAAACAGCTTGCAATTCTCTGTGTAGGTGTACATAAATACGATTGTAACTTTTTAAAATTTTAACAAATCCGCTTGGAATTTGATTTTGTCTTTAACGATTCGTAAACAATTGTATTCATTACATTAGGGGATTATGCCGATGTATGAACGGATTTGTCAGTTTATTTATAAATAATAAAACTAGTATTAAGTATAACAACGGAGCCGTGGCGGCTAAGACGTGAGTTTATTAACGAGTCTGGCGTTACCCTGTGGAGATTTAAACTCTTCAGCTTATGTTGTTTTCTTGTATTGAATATTTAAAGGGATTTTTACAAATAAATACACCATAAGAGGATAGCACACACACGAGTACCCAACATTCATAGAGCTGTTCGGGGATATAATCAAATCTATCATTGGATTTAAAGAATGTATACGGTGGCCTATTTGACATTAGGCTTTGAGCTGATTTGTGATCAGTAGTTCGATATACCTGTACAATGGAGGGTAATATGATACACCAGCTGTATAGATAGGGGACTAACCACGTTCTGTCTAACCGTATTGTCTTAAAATAAGTAAAATATTATGAAATAAATATTGATAAACAAATTTGAGAATAGTGGTAGTAAATTTGAATTAAAAAAACGTACATTATGATTATTGTCTAAATTAAAATATATTATAATAATTGTTCATGAAATGATAACAAGGTCATACGAAAAGGTGTTTTAAATTTTATGACGTCAGATACCAGTTCAAAACACGATTATAGGTAGCCATTAATCCAAGAGAGATTTTCTCCAGTGCACTTTGAAAAGTTACTTTACACATTGCATGTGTTGAGATTCGAAAAGACAAAAGAAAATGTACGGAACAAGTTTATAGATCTTCAAATACATCGATTCAAGGTGTCAACTAAGCTAACGATGCATTTGATTGGTTAGAACTGAGTTCGATTGATACATGGGTACACTATGGCGTGTGGTTTATGTGTCGTACTGGCCCGCGCCTCGATAGATACACATCGTAAGATGATACTGCGGTCTGTGTCAGTCGCCTGTCTGTGGACTTACCTACACGAGGCATTTAAAAACAAACCCCACTCGCCCATCACAAACAAGACATTCTTACCACATGGAACGGTAAAACAAATGGATAAGGTTATTTATTGAAAGACTCTTATTTTTTTTGGAAAGATGTTTCCATGTTGATGTATTCCATGCAGTGACAGACCAATGGCTGGAACGCCTGTGCTAATAAATGTTTACATTTGTGTTAGGGTAGGTCGGAGGATTAATTTGTATTATCTATTTTTTGAGGGACGGGGTGGGTGCTAATTCAAGAAATCACAAAATCACCAAATATAGTTATTCAGACCAATTGTATTTTTAGGTATTTTAAATCATAATATGGGTTTTAAATAAAAAAAAATGTATACCTGCCTACACAATAGAGAGGTGTCATAAAGACGCTTCCGTTGTTAGGGTCGGAGGTAAAAACCAGGGTCGGTCCCGAAACTTACATTTTGTTGGCCTTCAATAAACAACAAGTGTATTCACAGAACTATTATCCTAAATGTTGCAATCTGGTTTCTGAACTATCAATCTACGGTGTTAAAATAGTACATTTATAATACATTCAAATGTTGGCTGACAAAATTAACAGTGTAAACAATACCATAAAGTAAACGAGATAACAATAAGAACGGTTTATAAGGACTCTCTGATTTTCTGGTTAGATTTGTCCTTAGCAATATAATTTACATAGCCAGGGTTTCCAACCGAGGAGCCTTAAAATTACACCTAAATACGGGCGTGACAATGACCGTATTTCTTGTTATGATACGTCAGTGTCTACTAGTTTAAATATGAAATCATGAGGACGACCTGTACTTCAGTTAAATCTCATAGTGTAAATATTAAGTGATACGGACCTTAAGCTGATATGAAAACCTCTATTTCGGTACAGACAGGAAATAAACTAATATATAAACAACGAAGTTAAATGGGTCAGGAGTAAATGTCATGTCGCATAAAGACGGCCTGAGGCAGGGTTAGATACTAAGTATATAGCTTGGTAGTACAAAGTCATAGTTAAAAAGATAAATCACTAGTCCTTTGTCATTACTAGTCCTACGTCATTACTAGTCCTACGTCATTACTAGTCCTACGTCGTTACTAGTCCAACGTCGTTACTAGTCCTACTTCATTACTAGTCCTACGTCATCACTAGTCCTACGTCATTACTAGTCCTTTGTCATTACTAGTCCTATGTCATTACTAGTCCTACGTCATTCCTAGTCCTACGTCGTTACTAGTCCTACGTCATTACTAGTCCTACGTCATCACTAGTCCTACGTCATTACTAGTCCTACGTCATTACTAGTCCTATGTCATTACTAGTACTACGTCATTCCTAGTCCTACGTCGTTACTAGTCCTACGTCATTACTAGTCCTATGTCATTACTAGTCCTACGTCATTAATAGTCCTACGTCATTCCTAGTCCTACGTCATTACGGGGCCTATGGCATTACTAGTCCTATGTCATTACTAGTCCTACGTCATTACTAGTCATACGTCATTACTAGTCCTACGTCATTACTAGTCCTACGTCATTACTAGTCCTACGTCATTACTAGTCCTACGTCATTACTAGTCCTACGTCATTACTAGTCCTACGTCATTACTAGTCCTACGTCATTACTAGTCCTACGTCATTACTAGTCCTACGTCATTACTAGTCCTACGTCATTACTAGTCCTACGTCATTACTAGTCCTACGTCATTACTAGTCCTACGTCATTACTAGTCCTACGTCATTACTAGTCCTACGTCATTACTAGTCCTATGTCATTACTAGTCCTACGTCATTACTAGTCCTACGTCATTCCTAGTCCTACGTCATTACTTGTCATATGTCATTACTAGTCCTATGTCATTACTAGTCCTACGTCATTACTAGTCCTATGTCATTCCTCGTCCTACGTCATTACTAGTCCTTTGTCATTACTAGTCCTATGTCATACTAGTCCTACGTCATTACTTGTCATACGTCATTACTAGTCCTATGTCATTCCTCGTCCTACGTCATTACTAGTCCTCCGTCATTACTAGTCCTTCGTCTTTACTAGTCCTACGTCATTACGAGTCCTACGTCATCACTAGTCCTACGTCGTTACTAGTCCTACGTCGTTACTAGTCCTACGTCATTACTAGTTCTACGTCATTACTAGTCCTACGCCATCCCTAGTCCTACGTCATTACTAGTCCTACGTCATTACTAGTCCTACGCCATCACTAGTCCTACGTCATTACTAGTCCTACGTCATTACTAGTCCTACGTCATTACTAGTCCTACGTCATTACTAGTCCTACGTCATTACTAGTCATATGTCATTACTAGTCCTATGTCATTACTAGTCCTACGTCATTACTAGTCCTACGTCATCACTAGTCCTACGTCATTACTAGTCCCACGTCATTACTAGTCCTACGTCATTACTAGTCCTACGTCGTTACTAGTCCTACGTCGTTACAAGTCCTACGTCATCACTAGTCCTATGTCATTACTAGTCCTATGTCATTACTAGTCCTACGTCATTACTAGTCCTACGTCATTACTAGTCCTACGTCATTACTAGTCCTATGTCATTACTAGTCCTACGTCATTACTAGTCCTACGTCATTACTAGTCCTATGTCATTCCTAGTCCTACGTCGTTATTAGTCCTACGTCATTACTAGTCCTACGTCATTACTAGTCCTATGTCATTACTAGTCCTACGTCATTACTAGTCCTAAGTCATTACTAGTCCTACGTCATTACTAGTCCTACGTCATTAGTCCTACGTCATTACTAGTCCTATGTCATAGAAAATATGATGAAGAACCTTTTGACATTAGTATGTAACATACCTCTATTCTAAGCAATAATACTAAAAAAAATATAATCTATCAGTCAGAAATAGTGTAATAACAGATATCAAATCCACTTAGTTACGCTAGGTGATTCACTAGTCTTTACTGAAATTTCTGAGTCTCGACCTAGAGGTCTAATCAGGATGCCAAACCCTACTTCAGTCATGTGTTTAACTCCTGTATTAGAAATCATAACTATGTCATCCGTAATACTTTCCATACAGTATTTGGACAGTAACAAGAGATTGGTTAAACACGAGCTATTGACATGACTTTGACGTATCGTACGCCAGAAAACAGTAACACTAAAACATTAAAGCCTGCTCTATATAAAACACAGGTATGGAGTCCAGTCCAATTTTAACCATCTTGAAATTTACAATACAAGGTAAACCTGAGCGCCAGGTTTCACTTATTTTGTTAATTTGACGTATTAATGACGTCATTCCATTTGTTTCCGTGTTCCCTCAGTTCCTGTTGTTGTCTTATGCTGTCGTACTTCCTCAGTTTTTGTTGTCTTTTTTGTTTGTTTCCTCGGTTCCTGTTATTGTCTTTTGTTTTTGTGCTTTCTCGGTTCCTGTTGTGTTTATTTCGTGTTTCCTCGGTTCCTGTTAATGTCTTTTGTTTTTGTGTTTCCTCAGTTCCTGTTATTGTCTTTTGTTTTTGTGTTTCCTCGGTTCCTGTTGTTACCTTTTGTTTTTGTGTTTCCTCAGTACCTGTTGTTGACTTTTGTTTTTGTGCTTCCTCGGTTCCTGTTGTTGTGTTTATTTCGTGTTTCCTCAGTTCCTGTTGTTGTCTTTTGTTTTTGTGTTTCCTCGGTTCCTGTTGTTGCCTTTTGTTTTTGTGTTTCCTCAGTACCTGTTGTTGCCTTTTGTTTTTCTGTTTCCTCAGTACCTGTTGTTGCCTTTTGTTTTTGTGTTTCCTCGGTTCCTGTTGTTGTGTTTATTTTGTGTTTCCTCAGTTCCTGTTGTTGCCTTTTGTTTTTGTGTTTCCTCAGTTCCTGTTGTTGTCTTCTGTTTTTGTGCTTCCTCGGTTCCTGTTGTTGTGTTTTTTTCGTGTTTCCTCAGTTCCTGTTGGTGCCTTTTGTTTTTGTGTTTCCTCAGTTCCTGTTGTTGTCTTCTGTTTTTGTGCTTCCTCGGTTCCTGTTGTTGTGTTTTTTTCGTGTTTCCTCAGTTCCTGTTGGTGCCTTTTGTTTTTGTGTTTCCTCAGTTCCTGTTATTGTCTTTTGTCTTTGTGTTTCCTCAGTTCCTGTTATTGTCTTTTGTCTTTGTGTTTCCTCAGTTCCTGTTATTGTCTTTTGTTTTTGTGTTTCCTCGGTTCCTGTTGTTTTCTTTTAGTATCGACTTTGACGCTGAATTTTGTCCTTATTTACTGACCTTTTGATACATTTGTGAATCTTGAGTGCAGAAGGAAAACCTAATTACTATGCAAAATGTGAACTTCAGCATCATGGCAATGGAACATATAAAACGAAATTCTTAATAAATCTTCGCATTGGAAAGTTCTATAATTCGATCGTATGAAAAAGCCAAAGTGAAAAATATCCTGAAAAAATCCTTTTTTTGACGTCATAAATAACCCAAATTAACTAAACGACACTTTACAAATGGTTGAAGGGTCTGAACGCATGGCTGATGAATAGTCTATCAATGTTCTGATATCGCTTCCTGCTGGGTTTCCTGGCGACACACTGACCTCCAATGAATGTATGTATACTTCGCATTCATCTGGTATTGACCTAGCAATTTACCTACCTGTACGTATTATAACGTTTCGTTTGCATAGCTGTGATAAAATGTGTTGGGCAATCAGGGGATTCCATTGTCCGTTTATACATGGGTAGGTGTGTGTATAAGATTGCATATCGCTTAGATTAGGACTGTGTTTGTTAATAAGTTCCATACACTGGCCCAACCAGGAAAACAAACTTTCATGGCTGTATGTGTGGGGCCCTGCTTGCGTTTGGTTAGAGTCATTTAACTTCATTATAGGGACGGAGGTAACAATATACTGCAAAAATGTAGGAACATATATAAACTTTGTGTAACTTAAACACACACCAATAAATATGTATAAGTATACAGTCGTAAGCTTTCTTATCAACGTACGAAACAATATGACTGACAGCAGTCGAGATAAAACAACAAAAACACCTATATATTACGCTCTCCTGATGATCAAAGAACCAGTTGAATTGTAGTTTAAACTTGATGAATTTATATATTACCAGAAAAATATTTTCCCATAGCAATTTTAATATTGATATATGGTTGGTTGTAGACGGTTTAACGTCCTATCGAAAGCTAAGGCCATTTAAAGACGTTTACGATGACCTTAGCTGTTAAACCTTTTACAACCAACCTTTTTATCAATATAAGGGATTATACATTACGTATTAACTCATAATGTAACTCAGCTACTTTCGAGCACAAATATATGAGATATGCAATACCAAAAATATATTGAAATGACGACCAGGAGTACATTTCGAATTTTTGTTTTTATACGTGGTTTCACTTTGATGGGATTTGTTTTGTCTGGGCTGATGATGCTCTACCCTTTGTTTTGTCTGGGCTGATGATGCTCTACCCTTTGTTTTGTCTGGGCTGATGATGCTCTACCCTTTGTTTTGGTGTATCCTCAGTGCCGATTGTTATTTCTTTAATTTACGATTTTGTTCTGTGTATTGAAGATATTTTTATTTTCATTTTGTCTATTTAACTTAAACTGTCAGAAAAACTATACAGATATTGTAATACAAGAGGTACGTGCAGAACCATTACTTAACGTAAACCGCTAGACTGGGAACTATCAGATGGAAACAATTTTCGTAGGGTTTTTAATTTCGTTGTATTTCGTGGGTAATCTTCATTCACGAATTCATAGGTCGAAGTAATAAGTTTGATATGAGGCAATTCTACGTTTGAGTGGGTACTGACGAAATCCACGAGGTTATGTACCCACGAAATGGTGTTTGTCAGGAAATCACAAAATTTGGGCCCAACGAAAATATCTGATTTCATAGTATACTAGATAGATCACTGATTTACATGATATTACATACAGTTCATGAATTTTGATTGCATAAACCTTAACTGTCCTGTACGGTATAGCCCTTTTCACTATTACTCGTGTAGAAGGAGGATATGTAATTTAAATCGAAGGACACATATATTATTTATTCAATTATTTTTTATGTTTATTTAATATATCAACATTAACGATAAAAAGCAATCTTAACTGTTATTGGCCTCAGCTTTCTTGCAGTGCTATATCATGTTTCACAAATGTCAATCACTTGGGCACTAAAATAACCTACATACCGACAGTTATTGATTGATTTGAATAGAGTTCTCTCGATAAGATTTGATAACGACCTCTAATCCCTTCAGGACATTTAAATGCTTAGCTTGCAAAGGACAGACATTCAGCGAGGGTACAGTATTGGAACGTTCAAATATATTAAGAATGATTTATGAGTATAAGGTTAGCATGTATAATAGTTATTTAATGAAACCTCATTGTAGGGCCATATACAAATATTAAAGGAATACAAAAATCTACTTGTAACCTAATTCTTATATTAAATATGCTGCAGTTGTAATTTTCCCTCTGAATGAATTTGATTATTCTTATGACAAATGAAAAATTTATCTGTTTGTCCCGACTAGGAAATTGTCAAACGGTTTTTGCTCCCTCATTTCATACATCAATTTCCTTTTACAGATTTAAAGGTAATTTACCTTCACTAAACAGGTTGTCCATACTTTAAATATAACTAATTAAAATATGGTGAGGGGTTTCATTCATAACTAAATATTTTTCAGATAAAATTATGTTAGCCTCACTTCTATAGGGTTAACTCTAAATGGGAATTAATACTGTATACAGGGTAATTTTTCTCGTCAGTTTTATTTTCGCGGTAAGTTGAAGCCACGTGTTTTTTTGGTTTCTGGTAAGTTACGCTACGTAGCCAGCAATTGCGAAAAAAAACGAAAGTTAACAGTGAACTTGTTAAATGTAAACAGCAAAATGACAGTGCGTGCATATTCTTACCCTAACCCCTTGTATTTTACTTTGACTCGCTATGTTGCTCTATATTGTATACGTTCGGAGTGTCTGTTTTCGATTCCTGTTCTGATATGAATTCGTAAAGAATTTCCTTCACTTACATCCTCGCTAGCCAAGGATTACGATCAGGTCTGAGACAAGGTAGACCGGATCGTACCGGATCGTACCGGATCGTTACCCTTGGCTAGCGAGGATGGTCGTATTGATTTATGTTGTTGGTTTTGCGTCCGCTGTTATTATAATATTTTTTGTCCTTTTATTGCCGACACTGTGGTATGGTATAATTATACACTATTAATGGAATCTTCATTGTATCTTTGTAACACACAAATATTCAAAGGTAATATCACTTTTCGCACTGCAAGTGAATATATGATATTTATAAAATTTGGCGTTTTTGTATTTGCAGCATATTTTCTGAACAATGGAGGACGTTAATGACGATTTCGTCGTGTGTAGCGTCTGCACCAAGGAGTACGACAATGAGAAACGTGTACCAAGAGTTCTTCTCTGTCTACATTCCTGCTGCTCCTCGTGTTTGGACGATCTGACGGTCAAACGCGAGGTTGAGTGTCCAAAATGTAATACGCGGCACGAATCCAGTAATGAATCTAGCACGGATTTCCCGGTCGACAGTGCTTCTAGAAATTTCATCGACTTCCTCCGAGTCCAACGAAAGCCAACTGAAATACCATGTACTGACTGCCCGGACCAGGACCTTGCCGAAGCTTTCTGTAAAGAATGCTTCGTTTTTATGTGTGGAGTTTGCTCCAGTGCTCATAAGCGTACCCAGTTAACGAGGAAACACGCTATAACTTCTGTCGACGACTTGCAGGACTACGGACTTGACGAATTCCATAGACGCGACACTTGCGATAAACCCGGCCACGAAGACCAGGTATACACTTTCTACTGCGATCGAAGGGGATGCGACAGGCCTGTTTGCACATTATGTGCTGTTTGCGACCATAACCAAACAAATGGGCATCTTATTAGGAACCTGACTGACGTGTATGAGGACAGTAAGTCTGTGGTAGAGAGTGTGGTTCGTGAACTTAACACGAAGGAAAGTCCTGTTACAGAATCGATTGACATCCTTCAGCGTCTTCTAGATGATCTTGAAGAAAAGGAAAGCGAGATCGTTGAAGAAATCGATACAACATTCAATACCCTTGCTCAAGTTGTTAACGATAGGAGAAGCCAGCTCCATCGAGAACTTGAGAATCAGTGTATTTCAAAGAAAAGAGACCTTCAACAGAAGCTACACCATCTGAAGTCATATGCTGGGAATGTTCAAACTGCCAACGAGTTCGTATCTCGCGCTGTCTCCTATACAAATCCTACAGAATTTCTGCATTTGAAAAATACAATCTTAAAACGACTGCTAGAGCTGAAAAACCTGTCTTTCACTGCCCCAACCAAAGAGGATGTGACGCTGCGTTTTTACCAAAACTTCATCGAAGAGTCGTTTATACAGCTTGTGAAAAACATAGGAGTAGTAACCTCTCGCGAAAAAAACCCAACAACGAACAACCTCCCACCAAGCCCTCCTGAAAAGGAAATCACAAAACAAGAAGAGCCAGAAAAACTATCACGACAATTCAATACGTATGCACCTTCCGATCGATCGGCCTTTCAACGACAGATAAGCCAGCCGAGTTTTACGGAAAAACCAGTATTTCCAAAACAAATAAGTGCCCCAAACCCTGTCGTTGACAAGCCAGTGTATCAGAAGCAAGCAAGTGTTCCAAGCCCAGGCGAAAAGCCCACCTACCAAAGACAAACCAGCGTTCCACTGGATCATGGACTTAAGGACGCCCGGCAAAGTGTTCGGGATGACATCATCGCCACTCGTCAGTCGAGGCAGCAACAGCTTCCTCCGACGCCGACGGTCAACGGGATTTCGGGCGAGATTCACCCGAGGGACAAGTCACCCAGTGGAAGAGTTGGTATGCCGACAGGTTATTTAAATAATATCTTAAGCGAGGTTATTTGAATATATTAAGCGATGTCACAGTTTACCATTTATCGCAGTTTCTTCTAAAACATCAATGACCTTTGAGAAATAAATTCTGCTCTGAAGACGCTTTTCCTTCCGAATCACCTGGTCTCACTCTTCTTGTACAATCGTTTCTTTGTAAACCTTTCATTTGTTAAGATTCATTTATCCACTTTTTATTTGCGCTTCGGTATTCCCTTATTTTTGTTGCTGTTTCTATATACATTGTGTGTATTGGTATAGAATTTCATTCGAGACCTTTCACCGACAGAGAAAGATATACTATTGTCACATATATATTTTCGTTTGGTATGTTCTTGTGAAGGTAACATGCAACATTCTATTATCATGTTTCAGGTCAAGTCAAACCCAATGGCGACTTGCAGCGGAAATTGAGACCAGCACCAGCAAATATCTTCAAAAGTGACTCCAAGTCTTCGCCAATGGGCCTGGGTGACTTCCTAAGTACGTAAACAAAGTGTTTTGTCTTTGACGATAGATGTATCGTCTTTATTTACACATTGATAAACTAGTACCGTTAGAGATCAGTTCCATCGTTCCATTTTCAGTACTGATGTAATATCACTGAATGTGTACACAATATGTACAGAATTTGTTAATAAAATTCCATATATTTTTAACATTTTTTATTTCGAAAACGAAACAATGAATCAAGCACAACATTTTGTGTCATTAATACGTAATTGTATCAATTTAGATATAGTGTATATTTGATAGTCAACATTTCATTTTCATGAACCAATGTTCTTAAAAGTAGGGCGGGCAATCTATTATAGTTTGAATATTTGAATATTTTATTTTTCGAAAAAAACTTTTGAATAGTGTTTGCTTGGGTTTTTACATCGTTGCAATAATGACTACTGCTTATGAAAAAGGTTTATTGTGTGTAATTTTCAAAATATGACCAGAAATGATAGACACAAAGTAGACACAATAGTCCTCATGCACAAACACATTTATATTTGTATTGGGTTGATGCGAACGTTTAATTCCTATTAGTTACATTTTGATTGCAAGAATTTGACTTTTTATCTTAACATTTTCATTTTCAAATTTCACATTTTCCTTCTTATTCATAAGAACTATTATTCACATGAACTCACTATTCGCCACATTCATGGTTGCGTATATCATTAAATAGCACGACCTGAGTTGTTTTGTAGCAGATGAAAGTGTTGTTTTATGATAAAACTGTTTGTTACAAAAAACTTTCTTATAACATAGACATTGAATACACTCGCGTTTTTTACGAGAAAAAAGTGCATGTCAAACTTGATTCATTCTAATTTAAGCTATTTTGGTAGGATTGATTTAAATCGTTATTTTAAAATAAATCAGTAAATATATTTATCAATAATCATTAATGACATCGATGCACAAATCTTAAAATGCAAAAAGTATTTTTTTTGTCTGTTACCCATGTGTATTCTATGTAGCTTGTTCGTTACTGTGCACTCTGCATTTTGTTATTTGATATCCACCAACGTTTTCTTTTCTTCTCTCTCAAATTATTCTTCACACTATTCTTCATCACTGTCATCCATTATTACACTATGTTTCACAGAAGATCTAGAGTGCAAGGGCGAATTACCAGTTAGGATGGGTGTTGGTATGTATGAGAGATCTTGTATTATTGTATAAATTAAATATCGCTTACAAGTGTTCAGTGGACAGAGAAGCTTGGTTGTTCAAAGATATTCGTGTAAGGGAAAAGTTTTCAAGTAAAAACGATTAATTTTATTGTGAGATATCAACGAAATTTGGTTGTACCTATGCATCGTAAATGTTTTACAAAATGTTTGCTTCTTATTCTTTGGACAACCAGTGATTCTGTCAATTACTAATATACCGTATTATTTCTAGTAAACACACAGCTGAATATTTCAATAATTAGGTGAGTGACAAGACCAAGCCTTCTTAAATATTCTTAATTAGAATGCATTTTTGTTTGAAAAAAAATCAGATTGTGAAGAAGAAGGTAAGTTTTAGTTTCTGGCTTGAGCATAAGGGCATATATTTGGAGTTGAAGTGAAATTTTATTAGAAGGAGGGTTTCATTAGAAATATTACGGTGAAAGTATTATTTTTTGTGTGTGTTCCTAGTAGTAAAATATATGACAAATGTAAGATAGTGTTGGTTTCATTCGCAATATCAATGATTAAGGTAAGTAAGCATGCCTTGTGTGTTACTTAGTACGCTGTTTTTAACCTAAATCTGTCATTGCGTTTATATTTTTATAAATTAGCTTTAGGTTTACATGTGGTGTGACGTCATATCATTATTATTCATGTTAAGGATAACCATAACACAGTGAAAACCTTAAAGAAAAGTGATCTTCTGAAGCTTTCTGGCCCCGCCCGATCACAGTTGTTTTTCTAAATCGAAATTATTAGGAGGTTTCTTTATGCATAAAAATATATCAATAAAAAAAAAACAGTGTTTTGCCTGCAATGAGACAGGTATCATTAACCCAACATTTAAATATAAAAACATATTCATGCTTATCTTATTGACAATAACTTTAATAAATACTTTCTGAAGAGACTCCCACACCATGTATGACTTTTATGAAAAATAATAAAGATTTAACTAGCAAAAAAGATATCAGTAGTGTTCTGAGAGAAAAATGCAGCGTGACCAGATTCGATCCCAGAATCCCCAACATAATATGATCGCTCTTACTGACTGATCTATCTGGTCAGCTGAAGTTCCGTGGTCCAGCCCGACTACAGCAACATCCAAAACGAAAGGGGAGGTTACTCTATGTATAAAACATTGCATTGTCATTCTCTAATAGTTTGGCTACAGTGTTAAAGAGATCTTAATTTTAAGATGTGATAAGCAAGTATTGCCATATATGTTCATACACATAATTCATGTTCTGTATAGATTCAAAGTACTGTCTTCAAAATTCTGTTTCTGGAATTCTATTTCTCTTATTTTTCCTATTTTCTTTTTCACAATCAATATTAGTTTCAGAGAAATTGCAAATTAATCATATGTAGTTGATTTAACTTAAGACGAAATTACAAGTTCAACAATAATAAGTTAAGAGATGTTTATTTCGATTTCAAGATTTCCAAAATGTCCCCCAAACCATACTCACCAAAGAATTAAAATAGTGTTTCAATTCATCATTTAACCATGTATGCACAAATTTTCCTGAAATTTCATTGCTGCACGTTAATTGAAGAAGAGATTTTGATTTTTCCAGTGACCAACCAGTTCATTTTGAAAGAATTTACGTTAGGTGTTCATATTTTCTGACAGTTTATTCGAAATTAGTCGTACTGATCTTTATGAGAAGAAGTGTTTTTTCAAAGCATAGTTTTCTAACGTTTTGGAGTACATTCTCCTCGTATTTCATCTGCTACTGTGTCGATGAATGGCATCTTCACTGAACAATACTGCATTGATGCATTCTTTATCATAGATATCACATTTATAAATTAATATAGTCCTATAAGGTTCCGTCGAATACTATAACAGTCTGACCACTTCTAGTTACTCTATTTTGGGGCTCTTCCGCAGAATCTGGAGGGCTTTCTTCCTTTCCAAGAGGACATTGAGAAAAGCTCCTAACCACCAATTGCCAGAATCATATTTCATTTTCAATTTTTTTTCTACGACCTTGTCTTTAATGGCACACTTACAGTGTGTTCTTTTTTCCAAATATGGACTTGTGGTACCTTATAGTGATGATGGCTCGTTACAATTATCAAAAAATCTTGCACGTCAAAGATGTAACGAGATGTTTAAACGCTGTTCCAAAATCTAACTTCCAATAAATCTGTCACATCGATTAATACATGTATCAAACCGACAACATATATTTCGATACGCTTGGCGAGGCAGAATATAAATAATCAGCATATGTTTGTAGTGTTGATGGAACATATAACTTTGGGTTCCAAATAATGAACACAAATTTCACTAAGGGCTATTAACCTTTATTGATGATTCGAACATTTTCACACCCTCGTTGTATATGTACATATTTTGTTTTGTTTCTTGAATATTAACCCACGTATTGATATAACCAAAATAATCTGTTTGTGATTCATTCTAGCAGAAATTCTCAAAGAACCATGTCTCGCGAAATATAAGCAAATAACATAATACTGGGTCAATGATTAGCCAGGAATGACACATTTCTTGAATTCAGTTCCTCAATTTTTGAAGCGCTGTCCTGAGACATTTCCGAATGTATTGTTATTTGTTTAAACTTTGTTTTTATTCCACAGAGAAGACAACACGACCACCAATGTCAGAGCCAGGGACCCCAGAGAGGTCATTCAAACCCATCACCCCAACCAACCCTACGTCACCGGGGAATAAGTTCAACAATACTCCAAAGGGAGCACTGCCGACACCGAAGTCCCCTCGAAATCCTCATCCTTCAGGTACATTCATGTGTATAATCAATACGTCATGATGACGCCAAGATAACTAAACTTAAACAAATGACTTCATGAATTAACATCTGAAATGATGTCATAAAAAGCTGATTTAAGCTATAGAGAATTATTAAGTCACCACACAAAATGTTTCTATGAGTGCCCCCATACTTTTTCAAGTCCGAAAGAATAAGTGAAAACTTAAGAAAAAAACTGTTTGAGTGTATCATTATCGTGATTAATTAAATAACAATAATAAGTTATTTCAAGCATCGTTTGTGATGATCAAATGTGAAGGTCAATGTTATAAACAACTAAACCATTTACTCAAAAACGCCACAATGAGTGTTGCGTGTTAATACATATAAATACAAATTGTATTTACATTTTTAAAGAAAGTCAGGTAAAACATTAACATTGACGTACGAGACACTTAAATGTATTCATAAAAAATATATAGTTGTTGCGGTATCTGTGCTGTAGCATTCAAGTGAGGTGGCACTATAAATAATGCCGTTGGAAGCACGGTCCCGCAACAAACAGAACACATTACATCGTCAGCACACACACACAGGCATACACACATAGGGAGATATTAGCCAGGTGGCATATGACTAGTAGTTAGTGCCTGATAAGGCAGCTCCTGCGAATTCCTCAAAATTGTATTGATTTATGTATATGCTAATTGTATTAATTCTATATCTTTGTACCGTAAAGCGCTTTAGAGTGGCTTATGTTAGCTAGATAGGGCGCTGTATCAAATGTTGTATATTATTATATTATTGATAACATAAAATGATATCGAGAATCGTAAGATTGTTTTGTGTCATTAGACCTAGCAAACCTAGACTGTCAGTCGGATGTCATTTTTTAATAGCCATTCTGATTATTGTACTTAGTACTTGTTTTAACAAAGATTTAATACAACAATATTACCCAATGCACGTGAACCTATTTAAAAGATCCCTTCCCTGTCCCTCACAAATAATTAACACTTTGGTTGATTCGGGAATCAATTAATCATTTTAATATTGTAGCTCGCTATGTCATGTGGAGTAATGCATGTAAGTTACCTATGACATATGACAAAGATTGCATGACCTCAGAAGCATGCCCTTTTATAATTATTATTCACATTAACTAAATTGATAAATCACTACGGGCCAGTCGCTCGAAGCTTGACGCGGGTTTGAAAACAAATCTGCGCTTTAACAAGTCTATTCTGTAAAAATTAACATTGCTATTGTAAATCTAAAATGCCTGAATTTCAGATCGGTCAAATTCAAATGTTGACGATGACGATATGACGATATTTCGCTTTTAGTGTCATATTCAAAAAGAGGAATTAGTTTTCTCATTGACTATGTGTTTAAAAAACGGTCACATAAAAGCAACTGAGTAAAATTTCCGATGTCTAATAATAAAAGAAGCATAAATTATTCTTTAATACGAAATGGAAAATGACGATAAGCTAGTTCTAACCATTTCCATAAAACGAAATCGTGTTCTCAATATTATCAAGCTTCAATCGATTCGCAAGTTTCTGATAAAATAATGCATGATTTTGTATATGATTAGTTGCTTAATCACAAATTAGAAATGCATGACTGACTTCAGCCGAGGAGATGTTGCAGGTTCACAATGTAAAGACTAATGATATTCTAAAAGTTTGGTTTTGTTAACACGAAAGGAATTGTTACCAGAACAAACATTTCAATTTCAAAAAATATTTGTTGAGCTTTTTACAATGCTCAATAACTTAGAAAAGGAAAGATATTGACATTATAGTTTCTGCGCATGCGCAATAGGTATTATTGTTGATGATGCGTCATTGTATACTCAGGTGCTTATCCGTACGGAGACAAGGGAGCTCTGTTAGGATTCCATCACCAAGGCAGCAGGACAAGTAGGCTCGCGGAACTTGTTTACTTTCTCTCTAACACAGGCGCTTCATATTAATTTTTATTCAACACTACTTACTTTCTGCGTTAGAGTAAGAACTAAATTGAATTTTGAATTCTAGATTACCATTGATACATTTGGATATATTTTAAGAATTAATACTGAAATGATATCGTTCTCGATATGATCAAAAGCGTAGAAAAAAGGCATACTATTCCTATACAAATCAAAGGTGTTCTGAAATTCAAATTTCGATAATAAGAGGAACAATTCGATTAGATATTTACTTAAAAGTATGTATGCCACATCTTTTTCTATCTTCCGTACAACTTTCAGTATACTCAACACTAACACACTCATAGGCTATAACAACTAATCTGCATTAAATCAAAGCAACTAACACTCTGGCTGACACTTACTATTTTGTAATCTTGTAATAAAAACGAAAAAGGATAATATCGCGAATGCATAACGATGAAAGTTTTGTAAGCATAAGTATGTAATACCCACAATAAAATGAAACATCGATAATAGAGCCTGTCGGTATCGAATGCTGATGGAGATTCTGAAAGTTTGCAAAGACAGAGTAGCATTTTAAATATCGTATATGATGGTTTTCTCATAGAGACACTGATTAACTTTTCCTCCTCCAATTAATTTGCTTCATCCTTTCCTCTTCATCTGTCTCGATATTTTGTGAGATGTATTCGTTACTTCCTTGATTTTAATGTGGATTCAATACTTATTTAAATGAATAAAAAATGACTAACATTGTTGTGTTAAAAATATCACAATTTATAATATGTATCCAGGGTTTTCCATTGTGGATTGTTTACACATTATGTATAAATAATAGAGTATCTCAAATGAGTTTTTATTTTGTTTGCATGTGGTTAAAATTCACACTTTTTTAAAGATATTTTATTGTGAAGCTCGATGTAAAAATAGGAAACGAAATCCTAAATTTAATGTATATTTTCAAGGAATTTGAAAAAATATTCGCTTTTATAATCTTGCATTTGATATGTGACTTCCTTAGATAAAACAACATCATATTAGCCCATTACAGTTCAGCAACTCTTGAGTTGTCCAATTAAAGCAGATCTTAATACCAAGAACCTGGCACGGGCTACCGGGTTGTGTAAGAGTGTTCGACATCATCTGAACCCTCCTTTTTACGGAAATGTTAATGTTAGTAGAAATGTTAGTAAAACGAAGACTTCTTCACGGGTTGTGGTTCTGAAAGATAAAAAGACATGTCATTCCGGTCTTTAATCGTTTACGTTAATTCTATATCCTATTCTGTATAAAATCCTCCCAATACCATATTGGTTATATCCTAACTAATTCACGCTCCAGACCTGTTTATTTATCTTCATGCCATAGACTTACATAATAAATATGACGTATCTATTAATATAATGTTTTCGTGATGCCAAATTTCGTGGTTTACCGAAAAAACCTACCATGTCGTGGGTACACAACTTCGTCGATTACGAGTGCCCACTCGCATGTAGAATTGCTTTATATCAAGCTTGTAAATATTTCGTTTGCCTCTGAATTCGTAGATGAAGATTACTCACGAAATCACCGATATTTAAAAAAAAAAAAAAAAGAGTGATTTCACATTAATTAGTATTATTCAAATATATTGAAGAAAAATAAGTGATATTTAAGGTTCTATAACATTTTTGACGGGTTTTTAGCTTATTCCAGAAATTACTACAAACAGAGGTAATTGTATAAAACGATTGTTTGTTAGAAAAAATAAGAATGAATATTGCCTTTTCAGATGTGGAAGGGAAAGAACTGTTGAGGTCTATCCAAACTACTCCATCATCAGCAGTTATCTTTGGGGACGTTGTCTGTAAGTGAATGTTCTTCAACTATAACAGAATTGGAGAAAATCTACATAATCTCTTTGGATTCCATCAATGAGGTAGCGAAGCAGAGTTCATTGAAAGCCAAATGTCAAGACCAGTATTGTGACAAAAGTTTGCGCTATACTGAATAGGGCATACCTTTATCTCGATTGACGCATTGCCGAGCTCTCCACTTTGATCAGATAAACTTAGTGTATAGGTCATGTTATCACTAGTGACCACTTTGTGGCTGAAGAAACTTCAATTTCGCGAAACAATCGACAAGCTATTTTAATAATAGAGCAAGATATTTTTAACTAATAGAAATGTAGTCTTGGGCGCCACAGTCGTAATAGTAACATATGCGAACACTCTATTCAACCTTTGCCTGTTCTTATTATATGTCTGTTGCGGTAAAGGCCTTGTCGCCCTTTATTTCAGTTATTGCGCATAGTTTCTACTATAACAAGTTTCGTCATCAATTCTTTTTTCAATTTACTGATTACTTGAAGAAAGTTAGGCCAATCAGTTCGAATTTGTAAAATAAATTCCAAAGTTGTTTTTGAATTCAATGTTAGATAACATCGAGAGTTGTTTTTTGCACAATTCCTAAAGTGTCAAAAATGTGTATGTTTAAATTTTTTAGGTCCTTACTTCGTGTTCGACGTGGAGACCATCCACACTGAGAGGGAGGTATCTATTGACGGAAAACAACTCCGAAATCGGAAGTCGGGTAGCCCTTCTGGTATTCCAAACAGCTCTAAACAGCTTCAAAAGTACAAAGGCATCGTGGGTACATTTGGCTTCAAAGAACCCGGGAAATATTACTACGAGGTCGATGTGTCGTTCACAATACATCAACCACTGGAAGAAACATGGCTCGTGTTCGAATTAGGGATTGGTCGAGCAGACGACATCGACAAACACCACACAGTGGAACGTCATGAACATTCACGGTCATGTTATGTCGCCCGATACCCGGAGGACGGAAAACTAGCACAAGAATTCTGGCATAACCGTGACCTTTTGACTTATGTTCCTTTGTCGGACAACACGGCAGGTCTGACGGTCGATGTGACGTATGGTCTGGTGGTTGACACAAAGAGGAGGAAATGGACAGTGTCTGACACAAAGCGAGAGAAGAAACTTCATACCTTCACTGGAATCGATTTTTCGGAACCTCTCATCCCGGTGTTTGGCACGTACAACCCTGACCTTGTCAGCGTCGAAATGAACATTAAAACGGGATCGGAAATTACGTCATTTCCGGCGTTCTTAAAAGGATTTTGATGTCGCTCAACCAATATCAGAAAGTATCAAATTATTATATAGAAAGAAATGAATCATTGAGAAATGTTTTGATACTGTCTTAGAAATAACGTAATATATTATCAATAGATAATATTTAATTCAATCCATTGTCAGAAAAATACTAACAACTGTTATGTGTAAAGGGTATTTAGAAAGTGTTACAAATATTTTCAATATAAAAGGTAGCTAATATATCTAGAGGATTTATGATGAGCAAACTAAAAAATATTTCTCGGGGTCTGACATGACGTTTTTTACAGTATCCCTAGAGGTGTTTTTTTTATCACATTACCAAAAAGAAAAACAAATGTCGAGACAATTAGGAAAACACTATTCAGGGGAAATATCTTGTTAAGAAACAACAGAGTTTTTAGGTATTTATGGTAATGTCACGAGAAGTTATATTGGGTTACCTGTGTTCCTAGAAATAAATCGTATCTTATATCTAGTCTAGTATTCATGCTTGGAAGATTGAAGTCAGTTATTCCTATCAGTATAACTACTGTGAAATCAGATATTTTAATGGGGTCGAAATTGCGTGGTTTCCCGAAAAAACTACCATTTCGTGGGTTCATACATTCGTGTACTACGAGTAACCACTAGCATGGAGAATTGCTTTATGTCAAACTTGTATATACTTCATGGATCTATGAATTCGTGGATAAAGATTACCCATGAAATCAACGAATTTAAAAAAGTCACGAACATTATTGATTTTACTTTATATCGGTCTCACCTTCAATTTAATGCTGAATAGATTGATCAATTAATCTCTGAGAAAACTGTACTCGATTAAAAAAACTGTTACTATGTACCAGTAGACAATTGTACCCACTTACAACACGATGTTACTTTATACTATTGTTGTATACAATTATACTCGCTTAGAGTAAGATGTTAAATACTAGCGAACATTTGTGATATCAGTGCCGAAATTCATTATGGTTTATACAGGTGTTTGGAACTATTTTGTGGGATACAATATTACAAGAAAGTTTGAACCGAAGAGTAACATCGTTCGATGTGATGGCAGCTAACTGATAGATGAGAAATAAACAAAACACACTCACACACATGTAGATTACACCCTTAACATTTGGTAATTGATACAGTTAGCCAAAAATGAATTGAATTACACTGCGCCATACAGCTGTGACGTCCTTCTTGGACTCGTGAGTGAAAGCTAGGTGCCGAGGAGATGGATATACCAATTGATCTGAACTACTGTTGAAAAATAAGGGAAGATGCATAAAACTTCTTCTGTTCCTGTATTACAAAACTTCAAAAGATGAGCACTGGTTAATTTCAAATCAGTTATAAATTACGTGTGTTTATTCTGAACCGTGTCACTCCTCAAAGAGATAACTGCGATAAGGCACTTTTGCATATGCTAATTTTGCGTCGAATGGAGAGAAAATATAGATTATTGGTAATTTTAGGGTATTTTTTTATTGATAAAGCTCTTTATTTTTTATACTCTACAATAAACAATTTTGTCATTTTGCGTCGTTTTATCAACCCTAGAAACACGTTTTTTAGACGTAAATGTAGAAAAATTCTAAAATGGTTTTCATAATTGTAAAACTCTATACTTTAGTATACTGTTTATATATAAATCTCCGTAAAGTTCATCATACATATACATATGTATTTAATTGTCTATGTCACAAACTGTGCTGTGTGGTTTTTTTAAACAATTCGTATCTCTTGAAAATCAAACGATTTTTATTAGCATGTAAATGTATTCATGTTTGCTATATACAGTGTAACTTAATATTTCTGGATTCTACCAGAGATGATGTCCATCCTAAACATTTCATTAAAAAACAATAGTATAATTTTCGTAAACACTTAAGTATGAAAGAAATGTTAAACAAGGATTCAATGTGTTTTAATCCTCTCCTAAACAGTCGTGTTGTACCTAATTAACGTTTTGTTTTCATACCTTTATTTTCGCGTTAATGCTCGAGCAGACGATATGATTGGACAATTTGTTAGGGTAGTGTTTTTTGCGGGGTTCTATTTTTCGCGGTCTGTCAAATATGCGTAATGACAAGAAGACAAATGTGCGAATATCAGAAAATTATGGACTACGAAAACAAGATTATTGCAGTAATTTGACAGACATCAGCAACTGAATGTGTAGCGTTTGATGTTCTTTTGCGAATTCAATGATTGCGAATTTGTTGTTGGTAGAAGATCCGCGAAAAAAAACACCCACACAAATGTATTGATTCGTAATAAGTGTATATGCCTTATAAAAATAGTATATAGGATTAATTGTGATACGATTTCCGTCCCATAACTGTAAGTATTGTCATTTGGTCATATAAAAAATGAATTTAACATCTCATAGTTTACTTTATTTATGTTTTCATAACGTTTATAACGTGTACTAGGTATAAACTTTTATATGAGTGTGACTATAATTATATTATCGGTTGTCTTTATCAATTTTACAGTAATTTATTTATAGTAACGTACAATGTTATCGAAATATCATAATATTTTATAACCCGGTTTTTACATATTGAGTACATATACATACATTTTCTATTAATGAATGACTGGCATTAAATTTAATTGATAAGTTACATTTATCAAATAAACATATATGTGAGTGGATTAACCGTACTTTCATTATTAGAAATTAAAGAATATATATTTAGTCTAATATGATTTGACGTTGTTTGTTTGCCACCCTTGTTGCCTAACAGTTCCAATTGTCAGTCCTTCCCTTTGAATCTAGAGGAAAATTATTTCGGACCTCCACAACTATATTGTGTAGAAAGAGGTTGGTCCATTATATATTTGGAAAGGTATTAAGTATATAAAAAAATATCTTAAAGTCTCCAATATAGCAATGGTGCACCTTTTGGTGTGGTCAAGCAGCGACCAGCGAGGAAGAGCCACGTATACTTCAGGGTGTCATAAGTAATCAGTCACCTCTGATTATCATGCAGTCGACTATAGCATGCTAATTACGTTTCCCCACAGCCTGAAAATGTACACTATTTAAAAAAAAGAGGTAAAGTTACTGTTATGATAATGGTTTCTTGATACAAGTAAATTATCCGCGGCACCAAAAGTTCGTTAATAAACGTATTTTTCTTCCACGCGAGATACAAAAGCTTCGAATTGTTTTTGTTGTTTTTATTGAGAACACTTGTTCATGCTTTGTTTTTAACTTTCATCTGGTTCTAGTATCATTATTCGTTATGATTAATGTTAATGTCAATGACACTAATGTGTGAAAAACTGTTTATGATTGTAACATGTGATGTACATAATAGAACTAATCATTACTTCCTTGGCTGTCGTAAATGATGCAAACAATAACCACACCAGAGCTCGTAGTGCATACAACTCCTTACCAAAATAGAACAATATCTAAATTCCGACCATTCAAAGGTCACGGCGGCCATGTTGGATGTCCGATCGAAAAGTAAAATGGCGACTACTCATCTTAGCATGATAACATATCCTCATGCCATGTTTCATTGAAATTTATTTCCGAGTGAAATGAAAGGACGTTATAATGATGGAAGCGAAATAAGAAGAAATGTATTTAAAATAATGAATCACCCAAATTAATAAAGTCTTAAAGCTATTGTGATTGTACCCAAAGTGTGTTGTTACTCTCGTGGTAATTCACACCTGTCTAAAGAATACAAAGCAATATCTAGTTTTGCAGGGAAGCCCTGTTAACATATGAGATGTACTTTTGCTGTTACTTTACAAATAATAGCTACTTGGGACTGAGGCATGTTACATTACCTAAAGGCAAATATTTCGCATGCATATATTTCATCATTATCTCTGTGTCTGTTCCTGTCTGCATACGCTTCCCAGCCCAAGAGCATTAAACATTGCACTGTTTGATAATTTTGCAATATTTTAGATTCTACTGATGTCATCAATGCCCTAAGATGTTTCGTATGTACCATTATAAAGTGAATGAGATGTGTTGTAATTCATTCAGTCTCCTAAGGGATCCATGTATATTGCACTGTGGGGTTTCCTATAATCAGTAACCTCCCTTTAGCTTCCGCTTGGATATAACTTTAGAACAATTGGGCCAGGACACTTCCATTAACCAGGTAGCTCCATCGGTTAGAGTGGTAGCGCAGCAGTCTGAAGTTCCGGGTTCGAATCCAGATATCTCCCACGGTGTTTTCACTCAGAACCATGTTGCTGATTATATTTTGTTTATTTCATCTTGCGGGGTTAACTAGACTTAAATGTCAAAAAATGTTTCCCAGTTACTAAACAGAGATATTAGCTGAAGACTAATACCATTCGATGCTTTCGTCATCACTAATATCAGTAATGATTTACTCAGTTTGCTGAAATAGTTATATATTATTCTTACATATCCAACGATCTCCAACATAACTTTATTGAAGTGAATTATTCATTTCCTTCAAAGCGGATTTTGCTTCATAATCCAAGTGATCAAAGTTGTTTGATTGTGTATAGTTTGAATTGTCAAAACGCAAATACAAAATATCTATTTCACAAAATGTCACACTTCAATCGAATATACGCAGTCGCATGTAGTCCACCATAAAGATGTACTGTGGTTTAAGGTAAAAGGTTCTGACACTATTATCAAATGTCTTATAAGTTGTAGACGGTGTCTTAATCTTAAAGATTTTATTGTTTTATATAATGTCCATGTAAAGTCTTTTGGATATTGATTCACCCTGGAACTTTGGAGAGTATTATTTCGGGGATTCTGTTTGTTCAATATGCTACATTTATCGAACGAATGTGACCAAAATATTTTAAATGGCCAAATTCTGTATAACGTGTAATATCTTTATGTTCTAATAAGACATCGATCCATGTTTTTCCCTCGCTTTCGGGTCACTTGGTATTTATAGATAATGTATGACTACTTTCTAAGTTGCCGTTTCCCTCTATGTTAACGTAAAAACGACGCCACTGAAATTTGTCAAAAAAGATGTTGGATTTATGTGTCTTGATAGTTTATGAAAATAACGACATTGAAAGAGAGAAGAGATTAAAATAATTTATTGAAAAAAAGGAATTTACATCAAATATATTGTAAAATCAATTTGTGATCGAATACTTCTGGAAGGTCACTATACACATGCATCACATGTATATCACTGTCAATTAGATAGGTACAAATTACACTTTCACCAAAAGATCCTGGTTGGTAAACTAAATCTAAATGTCAGGAATATTTTATAAACCATTAAGATTGGATGATTGACAAATAACACATATGTATTCGAAACGTATACTCTTCTACCAGTTCGATAAGCAAAATATATGATGTCTACTGATATAATCCTTCGTACGTTTTTTAATGATCCCTCGATTTCCCCCGATCATATTTCCCTTATTCTGAGCCTTTCCAAAAACACCGGTAAGAGCCACTATACCTAGTTCCGAATGACGGAGGCTGATGACAACAATTGTGCGTCAACCAAGTCATCTCTTATTTTGTGTTATTGTTTTTTTCTAGGCTTCGTCCTCGTGAGACATAATTAACCTCGGTGAAACAAAGAATCGTGTTTCCCTACAGTAAGGGCAATGAATGTATACTGTTATATTTACTATAATCACCTCTGGTTTGCCAAAGAGCTTTTCTGTTGCTTAAATACAATACTTCAAATATATGTTTAATTTATATACATTAATTTGATAAATAACCCGATTAACCCTCATAAAAAACTATCCTTCAAAAAAAATAGTTTCAGCGATAATTCCCTGTTCCTAATTGCGATTTATTTATGTTATAATCTCTCATGCATTCCCATACACGGCAATTAGAAAAAGTCAATAACATTTTGTTGCTTTGTCGGACGTCGAAGTCAGTAATACGTCACGGTCTTGTGGCATTCCTCTATGTAAATGTTGTATTAATATTTAACATTCTCTCCCAGACATTCGTCTCAAACCACAACACAAATCCTAAGACACGGCGAAGTATTTCTGATACTAGTTGTCACAACTGCTTCAGGCGATTTTCAGTGTTCGTGAACATCGAGAATGCAACTCTTTCGCTGGATTATCCTGATAAAAGGTTTGTTTTATTACCATAATTAATGATGATCCATACAATTAAGAAACATTTTTAGACTTGAGTGTCTAACATGATATAACTAAGTAATGCTATGTTTTGGCCGCCATGTTATTGAAGGAGTTCAAGATGTCGTTGTTCGTATGTCTCTTTGGTTCCTGTAGTTATATTTTCATATTGACCGATTACTTTCCTATTTGACTTTAGAATATAGAATAGACATCGTATAGGAAAATCTCTCTCCTCGATGAGAGTCAGGTCAAAATCAATCTGACTTTGTGATATCTTTGAAGAACTTCATTGCTTGCTTTCCCATCGTACTTGTTGGTAATAAATGTTTTCTCATTGAGTGACATATTGTATATTGTATAAATTGTATAAACTAAAACGTATTCTCGGATCTGATGTCGCAATTTTATCTAACTTCTGGCATTACTCCCTTCACTCTAGCAATGGCATTTAATGCTGTTTTTGACTCTAAGGTGCGCGCTCTAACGCTATTTCATCATCCGTGTAAGCTTTATTTTCTGAATATGTGTGCCTGTTTATCTATTTTCGATAGAACACATTAAACTATAATGCATTGAAAATATAGGTAACCATTCAAAGTGAAGTGGTATCAATTTTTATGGTGTAGGACGTCTACTTTCAATTCCAAGTGTCCTCATGATTTACATTTACATTCGTAGGATGCGTATTGCTTAAATAGATATATAAGCAAAGAAGTAATGGCGACAGTTCGGGGCAACCGCCCCTTTTTTCAAGAACAAATGTGAACACTTACACTTTACAACATATAACAAAGATCAACAGCCACTATGAAACAATACCACAACATAAAATAATATATAACCATAATTACTGGGTATCACTGTGTTGCTGTTAACGTATACCCCTTAGGCTGTGTTGTAATTAAACGCTTCTTCTTGTAAAAAAAAATATATACTTGAAATCAAGTGAATTAATAGAAAAATCTGAATACTGAATTTGTTCGTATAAACACGGCGTGAAAAAAACCTGCGAACGTCTCTGCATGTCAAAATGGCGGACTTCTTCCCAACAGTTTATTGGTAATCGATTGACCCGAAATATATAAAGAAAAGAGAGAATACTTTTGCTAAATGCAGCTACATATCCTGTGTCGTCAAACTGAATGTGAATTGTTTTTTTTATGATTCAACCACTTACGTTTAGACTTACCTTTTGTTGCTGTTATGTATTAAAATTTCAAAAGATATTTGATGCTGGAAACATTTCAATTACGCTTTTTATATTATATAT